ATAACGTGACAGCGCGAGTTGTTCGTGAGGCGTGCATCTCGGGTAGAGCGCAGTAGGTTTATCGTGGCAGCCTCACAGCGGTATCAGAATGGATAGCAAGACGAAAAGAGCGAAATGGCAGCATACTTTGACTCGACTGGACAAATTGAGCTGACTCAGTTTACGCCAGCAGACTTTGAGGTGTTCCTATTGGAAAAACGTAAAGCGGTGACGATTAGTACTCTAAATAGTTATCAACGTGCAACATAGGATATTTACCGCCGGAAAAAAGTCCCTCGTTCGGATGCCTACGACAAGCAAATGGCTACATTTTTCTCCGGGCAAAAACGCTTGCAAGCAAATAGATTTCAATCTAGAGCACCTAAAGAATCGGGGAAGGATCCACTGCCATACTCGCCGTATCAACAGCTTTGCAAGGCGACACTGGAAAGGCAAGACGCGGGGTTTGCACATTTTTTTCTAACAACACAATGGAACCTAATGTGCCGTTTGGAGTCAGTGCAAGCATTATGCACGCAGCATTTGAGTACTCATGACAATAGCGTGGGATGTACTAAGCATCAATCTAAGCCTAATCAGGAAGGATTTGGACCCAAGGATCCGCGCCACGTGTACGCGAATCCCCGTAGCCCTGCAACGTGCTGGGTCACTGCACTTGCTATCTATTTAGCATGTCGACCAACACAACATTCAGGGTCACTATTCCCAGGTTCCCGTATAAAAATCGGCTCGAAAATACTTTACGTCAAATGATCACACAAATAACTGGGCTCAATCATTATGGAACCCACTCGATAAGGAAGGGCGCTGCAACATTTTCGTGCAGTGGGACAACGGGAGGTCCGTCAATCGCCAGGGTTTGTGTGCGCGTTGGATGGTCGCTTGGTAGTGTCCAGGATAGATGCATCCGCTTCGAATCGGCTGATGATCGATATCTAGGTCGTGGGAGGCAGAATTGCTCCGAAGTAAAGCTGAGCTCGTGGCACGACCGCCTCATTTTAGTGATAACAATGCGCAATGTGTGGAGTCATATGTCCAAGAAATGTTTCCAAGTCTACAAAAAATACATGTGCACTGCAAGATATTCTCAAGCTCTGCATTGCTTTGCTCGTTCAGCATCATGACGATTTGAATGAGGTTCTACCAGCATCGCACCCGCCACTTTCGTCCTATTCATTTCGTCACTCAGAAGTTGTGACACAACTTCGATCAGAGCTAGTTTGTGAGGCAGCTTGAAGCTGGATGAAGTCAACAGGGATATCGCCTCATGTGGAGCTTTACAAACAGTTGCAGTGCATGCAAACCTCAAAGGACAAGTTGCCGCCATTACTTTTAGAGGGAATGTCAAATTTTATAGAGGAGAAAGACGTTGCCTCTGGCAATATAACCAAGGATCTGCTCGAGAGCACCATTAATACACCGAGCAACTCGTCGCCACCTCAGACAATGAAGACTGACAGTAAAACAGCGTACTTTTACAACGTCAAAGTTCATTTACTGCCCGAGTCGCTCGAATTCCCTTGTGGAGAACCTTACGCCGCCTGGATGATCTGGTGGTTTCGTGGTAAAGCACGAAATTACCCACCCCTCCGAAAAATTCGCCCTCACGACTTACGAAGAGCCGTACGTGCAAGCGCTTCTCAGATTGAACTAGATTAATCCGACATATTTGCACAGCCATTGCGACTGCAGGAAAAAAACTATCCCGGATGATATGACCGAGCGCCAAGCTTCAGGTCTCTATCGTGTGGGCATCAGCAATTTAGAGATGACCTTTTCAATCATAAAGCGACGACTGGAGGAACGCTCGTTAATCACTAACCTACGACGTGTCAGGGAGCCGGCAAAGAGACAGAAAACAAATTACCCAATCAGAACAGTTCAGGATTGCATTCCAACGTCTTATACAGATAAGTAAATAGTACGACTTAAATCCGAGTTTTGAACATTATTCATGACTTGGGGCTTTTGGTTGGGGTTGAGACATTAAGGCCGTGTTCGATCTAAGCTAAAACCAGCTGTAATTGTTATTAAAGAGCTGGAATGTCTCAGCCAGCTTTATTACGCTAAGAAACACAAAAAATGACATCCAGCAGGATAGCTCCAAACGACGGGTTTCAAAATTCAGCTCTGGGTTGAATTTTGATTCGTCCTCCTTTACCCCTTAAAACAGTGACAATAGTTCTAAAACCAACGGATGGAGCAGCAGACGAAGAAGCAAAGGGCGAGCTGGAGGCGTGTGGATGAAAAGGCGCTGCTTAAGTGCTACCTTGCAGCGCGCAGCGATGCTTCCTTAAAAAGTCTCTGTGCTCAATAGCCGTGGTAAAGGTTCCTTGAGTGCTATTTGCTTTTGAGTTGCCGCCTCCTGCATTTTAGCAAGCGCTTGGAGGAGCCACAGGTCATCGTCGTGCTGTCTACCATTTTTCCCTGGTGATTGGTCTTTTTTTCTTTGTCTACCTGAGTATAATGGTTGGCGGTCGCAGACGCCTTCAAATCCAGCCTTTTTCTGATGGAACACGATCACTTATTTTATCTTTATTTTACTTAACAAAATACTTAACAAAACGACTGTTCTACAGCTCTAGCTTATTTTCAAACAAGCTGGATTTGCCCTAAGGTTTTTTTAAAAGCTGTATAAAAATGAGACGTAAGCTAACATTTTTCGAAATGCCAAGCGGTACGCTTCTACTGGATTATGGTATTGTACGTTTCATGCATTTTGGCGGAGACCTTGCTTATCTCAACGACTTATCAAAGTTGGAACAGCGATTTAGTCACTTGACGAGTAACATATTTAAGGGGGTTGACGACTTTGAGGACGAGTTGGGCTCAGATAATAACGAATGGCGGACATTCGAACCGCCATTCGCTGTCTAAACTCATTAAAGTCTCTGATATCAACTGCTCAAGGCTCTGACAAGCATGACCAAGTCAAGTGATCTTCGTTGGCGGGCGGTATCATTGATACATGTTTACGACGTTGATATCACGCATGTTGCAAGCATTCTCGGTGTATCGAAAAGGTCCATAGAGAGGTGGTATGGGTGGTTGCTCAATCGAGGTACTGTCGAAGGAAAGGGTCGGAAGCAACGCACGTCAAGATGGCCGCAAAACGTGTGCCAATTTGCTCGTGAATATGCTCAGTCTCACCCGTGTTTCTACATCGACGAGCTGCGGTCAGCACTGAGAGCTCGCTTCCCTACACTGAGAAATACATCCGAAGCTACTATTTGTAGAGCCCTCCGCTTCGACCTGCACCTCACGCGCAAGGTGCTCAGCAAACGGGCAAGGGAGGCAGCTCCGGCGGAAATTGCGGTGTACTACAATAAGCTACTTCCATTTTACAATGGACCAGAGCAGCTCGTCTTCTTGGACGAGACAGCGAAAGCCGGTCGTGACTGTATGCGTCGGTACGCGTGGTCGCCGAGAGGTACCCCTGCCGTGGTGGACCTGCCGTTTAGACGGGGTGAGCGTGTCTCCGTGCTGGCTGCAATAAATACAACAGGGTTTTTTGCTTGGGAAATGACGAGGGGGACGTTCTCGCGCAGAGAGTTCCACAAGGCTTTTAGTGAAAAGATTGCACCATTGTTAAATCGGTGGCCTCTTCCTAGAAGCATTGTAGTTCTTGATAACGCAAAGATACACATGTATCGTGAACTGGAGGAATTAGTACACTCAACGGGCGCTTTACTCTTCTTTCTATTTCCGTATTGCCCACAATTAAATCCTATAGAGGTGTCATTCTCTCTACTCAAGCGGTGGATCATCAACCACGCCAACATGGCATTCCAAACTAACCCCGAGGCCGTATTAGAGGTTGCTTTACGAGATTGCACTCGTTCTAACGATTCTATAGGTAAAAATTTGTATCGAAAATGCGGATATTCAATCGATTTAGTTAGGTATGTATTTGACGATAGAGCAGATAGTACTAGATAAGTTATACTACAGCTTGCCTTCCATCATCGTCTACTCCGTCTTCTTCTATGTCTTCGTCGAAGTCGTCCGCTCTGTCATCTTCTACGTCAGCATGATCTAAATCAACTGCGTCTTCGGGTACGGCAACGGTACGTACTGCTCGTTCGCGAAACGGCGGCCGGAGATCATATCCTGGTAAACCCAAAACTGCCCGATGTTTAGGTCGATAGGTACTAGCACGCCGTTAATCATGATATGGATACGACGAGTCTCCGCATTTGCTGCGCTTGTCGCCGCCGCAACTTCGTGCTGGTGTTGTCGAGCGCGAGCGTCAATGTAGTTTAGCTGACGGAAGGTCTCGTTGTTCGGTTGAACAACTGGAGCATCGTCATGTTGCCGCGCTTGTACAGTTGCCCAGTACTCGAGCGATGCTGGCCCTGGGGTCTTTCGGTTTTCACTTCTCAAGGTCTCCGCTATATTGCAAGAGGCCTGGGCCATACGGACAGCTGTTGCCCGATGGATTGGGTTTGATTTTTTGACCCGGTTGACGTACATGAACAGAGCTAGCCGCTGGCTTGGACTCTTTCTTCTACCCCACACCTTCCGCAATAGCTGTGAGAACGCTTCTGCGTCCTCGGGTAGACGCTTGTAGTCACTTTGTCGGGCGTTCACAGTGGCTTTAATGTAGACGCCAGCATCTGCTGGCCAAGTCACAGCCGAGTCGTCCTTCACCAAGAGTCGCAGCTTCTCCTTAAGTACTGCGTACCCTTCTTCAACCGAAAAAGTCATAGCACGTCGCGATCCGTGAACCGCTCTACAGTCTGTTAGAGGCTCTCCGATCTCAATAGTCACCTCTGCGTCGCACTCGTGGCGAAGCTCGCGTAGAGCAGCCTCCATTCTCTAGTTGCTCTCGATGATGAAACTTTTCGTCTGAAGAAAAAAAAAACGAGTTGGTCGTTTTATGGAAAGCGATTTATGTAAATAGCAACAACGACTTAGACAGCGAATAGAGCGCGCAAAATCAATGAAGTGGACAATAATACCGATATGGTTATAATTCCCCTCTGAGTAATAATTCCTCTGTGAGAGTCCCGCCGATGAGACTCAATTGACCCATCTCCCTTTCGTCTGAGCTGCAAATCAAAGGTGCACAGCTTCGCAGCCACTCGCTTCAGTCCCAAGATTTCTCGGCTTCACCGTATTGCTGCTGCTGTCTATCAGCGCCCAAACACCCAAGAAGCTCTTCACCTCACACGTTCGCACCATGTCCATCACCACGACTAACGAAAAGCAGTGGTTCAGTGAGACCGAGGCCATGTGGCCGGGTCAGAAGCTCTCGCTCGAAGTGGAGGAAGAGCTCTTTCGCGGCAAGTCGGACTTCCAGGATGTGCTGGTCTTTAAGTCAGCCACGTACGGCCATGTGCTCGTACTGGACGGCGTGATTCAGCTCACTGAGCGCGATGAATTCGCGTACCAGGAGATGATCTCTCACCTGCCCATGTTCTCGCACAAGCAACCCAAGCGTGTGCTCGTTGTGGGAGGTGGTGACGGTGGCGTACTGCGTGAGGTGACCAAGCACGACTGCGTCGAGGAGATCGTCATGTGCGAGATTGACTCGATGGTGTGCAATGTGTCTAAGAAGTACTTTAAGGACACGGTGGCTACGGCCTTCGATGACCCGCGTGTGAAGCTCCTCCACGCCGACGCTGCCGTCTACCTGCGTGAGAACACGACCGAGAAGTTCGATGTTGTCATCGTGGACTCATCGGACCCGGTCGGTCCCGCCGAGGTGCTGTACCGTGCAGAGTTCTACGAGAGCATGAAGAACTCGCTGTCTCCAGACGGCATCATCTGCACTCAGGGCGAGTGCCTCTGGCTGCACTTGGACCTCATCGTGGACGTCATGCAGCGTTGCCAAAACCTCTTCCCCACGGTCAACTACTCGTACACGACCATCCCTACGTACCCTTCGGGCCAGATTGGCTTCATTATGTGCTCGCTCGACAAGAGTGAGGGTGTGTTGGCTAAGCCCAAGCGCACACCCGACGCCAAGATGGAGGAGACGCTGCGTTACTACACCTCTCAGATCCACGAGGCTTCGTTCGTGCTGCCCAGCTTTGCCGAGCGTAAGATTGCCACCGTGCGCAAGTGACGCTCTTAACGTGACCGACAGATTCTCTACCATCCCGACCTTAACCTGTATTCGATACAGAATCTTCAAACAACTGTGAAAAAGAGCGTATCCTTTTTTTTACCGTCTATCGTTTCCTTAACCTGTCGTAACACTCGTAGGCGCGGTTCTCCCGTCTGGCACGAACAGTGTGATCTTGTCAACTTTCCAGCAGAAGTCGGGCGTCTGCTCTTGGACAAGTTTCCAAATGTGCGGCACGAAGAACTGCTCCGGGTCCACCTCCTCTTCGTACCGATAGCTGGCATCGTCGTCGTCTAGCGAGGTTTTCGACTTTGAGGCGTCTCCTGTCCACGATCGTGCACTAGAAGCCGCCAGGAGGCTCACGCATTCTCCTCGGATAATATCCAGCACCATGTCAGTGTCAAGCACGTCGTCCGGCGAGGTTTTCGCATCCACAACTGCCTGGAAACGCGCCAATGTACTCCACACAGGACCGTTATTCACGTGCGCAGCGAACTCCGAGTGCTGCTGCAACGCGGCAAATGTATCGGCGCGATGCAGCAGTGAATAAATAAGTTGCGGGTTGCGCGGCAACTGTCGCGCCTTCAAGCACGACGAGATCACGCCCAGTAGCAGCCGGATAAACTCAACATAGGCCGACTGCTTCTGCGCCAGTACCTCACCCTCTTCCTTGTTTGTGGCTTGCAGGCCATGCATCTGTGTCACAAGCTTCGCTTCGTTCTTGGCCAGCATGTCGATCAGCCCCACGATCCCTTGAGCCGCGTACATGTGCAGATTCTCAGCCGAGCGTGCGAGGTTGGACAGCGCTGCAAACGCGTTCAGGTGGATGAAGCTGTCTTGGAAGTGCGTGATATTACGGAAGATGAGGCGGGTGAAGATAACCATCATGAGACTACCCAACGACACGTCCAACATGTAGTGCTCCTGGTACCACGATACGTTGGGCACCACCAACTGCGTGTGTGCGGTGCGAACGAACGAAGGATCTTGAGTGAACGTCAGCAGCACGATCACCAGCATGTACAGGCGACTAGGCTCAACAGACCGCGCGTGGTACAGCGTCTCCAATAAGGGCAGCAGCAGACGTTCCATATCGACATCACTCAACGCTGTGTCCAATATCATTGGGTTGGAATAAAGCAGCGTATACAGCATTAGATGACTCGCTTCGTAAGGTGCGTGACGGCCAATGACTTTGAACAGATCCGAGTACAAGAGCTCCAATTTCTCAGCGCTGGAGCTGGAAGTTGCCTCGCTCTGTTGCACCAAATGAGCTCTGGGGTCTTCGATCTCTGATACGTCGTGGGTGTCAGTGTCAGCGCCATCTGTAATACCACACAGAGCCCCTCGGAAAGGGTTGCTTGCCACGGGGGAGTCACTATCTCGGCAACTTTGGAGAAGAATTAATAGCAGCAGTACACTACGGTCGGCAAGTGGGCTTGCAGTATCCTCGCGGGTGGTAAAATATCGGATAAAACTCCACGGAAAGCGAAAGATCGACGCTAAAACAGGCAAAAAACGATGAGAAAAGGGCTGCTTGAAAATATCACACCCACTGATGTACCCACCTGCAATGGAGCCAACGCCCTCCAGCGTCAAATACGAGAATTGCTCCAGCTCATACGCCTGGTCGGACATCCCAGACATCGCAATGAGTGAGGTCTCCCGAGCTTTTCGTAGAGCAATCACTGCGGTATTCGAAGCAGAACTCGCCCCAGTAGCTTGGATCTGCTCGATACTATTCTGGAGCAAGCGACGAACGATAGCAGATGCCCAATATGATTTCTTGCCATCAGGAAGAGCGGACGCCATCAACATATAAAGAAACGGATTGTGTGTAAGTAAGTCACCGGCCTGTTTAGAGTGGTCCCGTGGATACGCCACAGGCGACAAAAGCACCAACAGCGTGTTCACAGCTTCCACGTGCAGATCGTACGTCCTATCACTGCAGTAACAGTACCAGTGATACAAAGGAAGGATTAAAGTAAGCAGGATTTAAGTAAGCAGTGAAATCCCAACTTTTGGCGATAGTGAATCGTACTTGGGAGGGAACTCAATGAGAGCCGTGAGCAGAGCATCCAGAAAGCGAGCAGCAAGGTCATCGGATGAGTCTTCTAGTGATACCTCATCAGCGTTTCTCTTGTTGTCAGCACGGTCATCCTCCATTTGAATGGACAGACTCTCTGTGATAGGCCAAAGTAGCAACAGTGTCAGAACCACATCAAGCCATGGGTACACAAGTGCTACTGACGTCTCATCGTAGCAGCAACAGCGTTGCTCCTTCTAGGCTCCGTCGTAGGTTTATGATTGAAATGAGCCAGCAACGGGCACTCGTCTGTTCTTTCTACAAACCGCATCGCGAACTGCCGAACCAAGAACAATGCATTCAGAGCTCTGTGCAAGTGCGTGTCAACTGTCTGCGGCTTGCCGTTCAAGGGGTCTAGTCCCACGACACCCGGCGCATAAGCTGCCAACTCACTTTCCGTCATCTTAGCCACTCTGCAGCTAAACGGTAGCTCATGGATCACGAAGCGCAGCAACACGCGGAAGTTCCCGGACTGGAGACTGTTCTGGGCTGCCACCGCGTGAATTTGTGACCACACTTCGCGGTCAGCACCGTATCATTGCAGAATCACTATTGCGATATGCTGCTTTTACTATACCTAGTGTCTCGCCATATTCGCGTGTCAGTAGCTCCACCTGCGCCTGTGTCAATTGTGGCAGCGGCTTGGGAGTCCCCAGCAGCGCGTGGTATGCCACGTCCTCGCGTGGAGCTGGCGTCTCACTCACGATCTTTTCAAAGGCAGCTTTCTCCTGCGCAGACCTGAAGATCTGCTCTATTGCCGCCGAGCCAGTGGCTGATGAAGGTGTCGAGCTCGACGCTCCCATTTCGTGTCGAGAATTAACGAACTGTTATTAGCAGTATTTTTGAAGGTAGGATGTTCTTATTGGCCGAAAAGAAGGCATGGCTACATTGAAGGGCACGTAGCCATTTCCACCTAGAAAGCAGGCTGGATGTGGAATTCGCATAGGAGAGGTAGGTGGTCCGACGGAGAGATGGTACTGGGCAGTGCGACCTCCTTGCTCGCGTCCTCGAGCGACATGAGCTCCATGAGTGCAGCCGGCCGCATCCTGTTGCAAGCCAGAGGTTAGTGCTGCATTATACGCGAGACCAAAATGAAAAGTGCACCGACCTAGGAGAGCGGTAGAAAATGTAGTCCAGTGTACCGACGAAGCGCGGCACCATCGTGCCATCATCCGTTATAGACTCGCCGTTGACGTTGGTAAACTTGGGTTCACCATCCGCATCATACTGTGCGTAGGCGCTTTTAAAGTGGTTTCTGCTCGTGATGAAGCTGTACACTTTGCTGTCTGGTAAGGAGTTGAAGTCACCGGAGAAGACGACTGGCGTTGATGCTTCCAGCGCGCTCGCAAACTCGTCGATTGCACGCAGCATTCGGCGTGATTGCAGCAGCTTCACGTCTTCCTGCATTGGGTCCCAGAACAAGTGCGTAGTCGCGACAACAAACTCTAATTGCGTCGCGAGGTGTTTAAAGTGGACAATTGCACCGACGCTTCCTCTGGTTGAAGCTCTCGTAAGCAACTCATGATCAATATCTGTCGATCAGATTAGAAGCAACAAACACAAGATTAGCAACTAAAGTCAGACCACGCGTTCTTAAGCGTAAAAAAACAGCGATAGCAGGCCCAGACTCACCCGACTCGTCACCGTTGGGCAGGTCCAGACTAACCTGCACGGACTCTTTCATCTTCAGCATCTTCTCATTCCAAAACACAGCCACACCGTCCGGTTTGGTGCTCGTCTTCTTAATGAAGATACTAATGGTAAAGACAGCAACGAAGCAAGAGTACTTGTTAGCATCATCTGACTCACTCTATCGACCAGCCCACTCGAACCAAAGACCCAAGTGTTGCCAACTCACCCTTCATATCCGAGCTTTTTCATCATGCCAGCCCAAAACTCCTTGTAGTTGTCCACTTCCTATCATAGCAGCAGTAATCACTTATCGCGTCACCCAATAGAAGCTGGCACAAAGCCATCCTTGGGGTCAACTGAAGTAGCGTTGCTACCTGCAGACAGATGACATCAGGCGAGACGGGCAGACTCGAGGCGAATACAGCTTCCTGCTCACACAAAACTCGTCAGCTGAGCTCAAACTATGGCGACGGTGCCTAGCCTTGCAACCCACCAACTTTTTGGATCTGTTCTTCCAGCGGAGCTCACTGGACTCGCAGTACGGGAAGAAAGTAGAGCGCACGTAGCACTGCGCAAGCACATTGTACGTCATGACCAGCAACTTCTGTGAGGTTTCAGTCACTGTATCACACAAAGTTGCATCCGAAGAGCACGTTAGTAGGTCAAAATCGCAATAACGACCCGAAATCCAGCCCACGCGAGCTCACAGGCGCCATCGCGCGGCAACATGCGCATTCCTGGAGTCATGGCTGATTCCAATGAAGGTTTTCGTACTTTCATAATATAACAGAGCCCGAACCGCACGCACCTTTTCATCCAATTGTATCAATCGATTCTTCTGCACAGTTTTCGCAAATCATAAGGCTTAATTTTCCTTTTGTGGCGTGTGAGTGGCTGAAAGCTGGTCAAGTGATTGAATGGCGAGCACGCTCTCGTCCAGCCAGCCTCCGATATCCCCGACTGCAAAGTAGTGCTGAAATTCACAAAGGCTTCCTCAATTCAAAGGTAAGGAATGAGCTCTTGTCCTGTGTGCGTGCAGGCCTCCTTGAACACGCGTACATCTTCTACACGTGGCGGAGAGCACATTGATGGCTACAGACAGGCAGTGATGGCGTTGACAGGCAGCGTGCACGACACACAGGAAATGACAAAGACAACAGGAGCTAATCAGTCGGTTGGCAACGTTTGTAGATGGTGCAGGTTACTCCCGTTGTCCGCCCGAAGATCGTCAAGAAGAAGGTAACGAAGTTCAAACGTCACCAGTCCAACCGCTTCAAGCGTGTTCCGGAGTCATGGCGTCGCCCGAAGGGTATTGACGGCCGCGTGCGCCGTAAATTCAAGGGCGCCATCAAGATGCCGAACATCGGCTACGGCTCCAACAAGAAGACGCGCCACCTGTTGCCCAACGGCTTCCTTAAGTTCGTTGTCAACAACGTGGCTGAGCTCGAGGTGCTTTTGATGCACAACCGCAAGTACTGCGCCGAGATCGCCCACAACGTGTCGGGCCGCAAGCGTCGTGAGATCATCGAGCGCGCTGAGCAGCTAAACGTGCGTGTGACCAACCCCAACGCCCGCGTGCGTGCTGAGGAGAACGAGTAAGCGCTCATTTCAACGAGCAGCTGATAACAGGAGTGACGACTCGAAGGACGGACCTTGTAGGTGCATCCACTTGAGGCGGAGCTTTGCGATGAGGACAGGAGCCAACTGTGAGAAAGCAAGGAAGCAGCTTCAGCCCCAGGCGATAAGCGATAATTCACGTTTGGCGCCCTGCTGGATTTGTGGACTAGCTCGTGTGTGTAGTGTCATTCCGATTGCGTTTTTCCTGTCAGGTGGAGGGATGTTTCGGCCTTGTGCGTGCAGGTCTCGGTGATATAGCGTACAGGATTAAGGGCTTTGAGGGCTCAGATGCACGCGACGCACTTAGAAACACAACACCGTCAGCAGCTCTTGTGTCCCTGGTATATGAACACAACAGTTTCCTACTGCGGACCTCCTGGCGGTGTTCGTGCGCAAGTCAGAAGGCTGTTGGCCAGGGTAGGTCGGTCATATGCTGTGATCAAGACTGCCAATGAATATTCAACATTCGCGGGACGCCATGGGCCTTTTGAATTGAAACGCTCTAACAAAAAAAATGTGCAATAGTTGCCTCGAAAACCAAGTTCGGAGTTTGCCGCTGAACTTCGAGAACGCCCCCGATGGATGCAGGACGTGAACTGGTTTTGTATAGTCGAGGTCACCAGCTTCGATTGGGCTAAGCAGTAGTTTACAGTTGCAACTTGCAACTTGCAATTGCAGCTAAAATCTTACCGAGCAGAGATTACTGATCATCTCATAACGAAACCTATCACATCGCATTTGAAACAGAACTGTATCCCCTCATACAGGCTGCCACTGTCCGATGTCAAAGCTGGGGCTGGCATTCCCGAGTCTGGCGAGATAGACATGCATCCTTCGTCGCTGCTGCTGCGTGTCGCCCACCATGGCGCCAGCGTCTCGGCGTCGTCGTCGCTGCGTCTGCTGAATCCTGCTGGTCTTGGCGGCACGCGTTGTATCTCCAAGCGCGCGGCAGAGGAGGCGCGCCGCGAGTCCATGAAGCAGCGCAACCGCCGCGCCGTCATGTACCTGGCTGGCACAGCCATCGCCTGGGTCGGTATCTCATACGCTGCCGTACCGCTGTACAAAATTTTCTGCCAGATGACGGGCTTTGGCGGCACCACGCAGCGCGTAGAGGAGTTCGTAGCCGACAAGCTTACCCCACGAGAGGACGCCAAGCCCATTCGCATTACCTTCGACGGCGGTGTGAGTGCCAATATGCCATGGGTGTTCCGTCCGCAACAGCGCGATCTATTACTTGTACCTGGCGAGACGGCGCTGGCTTTCTACACGGCCAGGAACAAGACGGACAAGGCCATCACCGGCGTTGCTACATACAACGTATACCCACCGTCGGCTGGCGTGTACTTTAACAAAATCCAATGTTTCTGCTTCGAGGAGCAGCGACTCAAGCCCAACGAGGAGATCGACATGCCCGTGTTCTTCTTCATCGACCCTGAGATCTGTGACGACCCGTCCATGAATGGCGTGCACAACATCACGCTTTCCTACACGTTCTTCAAGACAGACGACGTCAGCGAGGACGAGGTAGTCGACGAGGACGAGGTAGTCGACGAGGACTAGAGTGGCGACTGGCTAGACTGGAGAAAAGATAGCGCAACGGAGACGGTCAAAGTGAACGAGGAGTTGGAAGACTCAATAAAACATCGCTTAGGAGGAGGAGCACCAAGATACCAACTAGTTACTAGACGACGATGAAGTCCAATTTAATATATGATTCGTTCATCTACAGTAGTGAGTGTTCGGCTCTGGTCGCATTCTGTGTTGCAGTACAGAGTAAATACACTGGACATGAGCTATGAAAACTTGTCATGGCTACACTCAATACTGTACTACAATTTCTAGCCCACGCCACATACTCGATTGATTGGCCAAAATCACTGAATATCAACAATCCCACAACTTTTTCCCGCGGAGTCCCATACAAAAACAAAGAGCTCTTCCGCCCAGAAGGACCCAGCCTTAATTACGCCGAACGCCATGGCTAGCAAGGAAGAGCACAACGACGACGAGATCCGCGAGCAGGACCGCTTCCTGCCGACAGCCAATATCTCGCGTATCATGAAAGTTTCGCTGCCGTCCACAGCCAAGATTGCCAAAGACGGAAAGGAGACAGTGCAGGAATGTGTGAGTGAGTTCATCTCGTTCATCACGAGTGAGGCCAGCGACAAGTGCCAGCAGGAGAAGCGCAAGACCATCAACGGCGACGACATCATTTGGGCTATGAGCACACTGGGCTTCGACTCGTACGTGGAGCCACTCAAGCTTTATTTGCAGAAGTACCGGGAGTCGGTCAAGGTGGAGAAGAACGACAAGAAGGACAATGTGGGGTCATTCGGCGCGTCCTCGTAGACGTCACAGGGACTCGAAGACAGTGCTGTGGCTTGTAGCGATAAGAGACTGCAATAAATAAACAGAAAAAGACAGAAAACTAACGTTGGGTTAGCTATTGGTTGTTGCCGCGCGCTTCCTGAATAAGTTGCAGCATTTTGAGCTTGTTCTTCCTGCTGGCAGCTTGCAGACACTCGACGACAGTGTCACCGTAATTGTCTCGGATACGAGGGTCGGCGCCTGAGGACAAGAGGATGCCAACGCAGGAAATGGACTCGCGTACGATGGCTACATGCAGAGCAGTCCAACCGTTGATCTGAACAGTAGAGAAGAGAGACAAGGTGAGTTTTCGACGAAGAGCACATGTAGACCGTTCTGACCGTACCTGATCAGTGGCGTTGACTTCAGCTCCGTTCTGGAGAAGAAGGTTCAGGATGTCGCTGTGATTTTGAGACGCCGCCCAATGCAGACCACTCCAACCATGCTGCTTACGAACAGGGAAATATGAGATGAAGATGAGTAGAAAAGAGCTTCTCGCCTTACCTGATCTGCGGTGTTGGCGTCAACGGCTTCATCGTTGAGCATATCTCGGACATGGTGCTTATCGGCTCGATACACGGCTCGCATAAACTCTTTGCTTTCCTTGGACTCGCTCGGAGTTGTGCGTGGAGGAGGGTCGTCGCTCTCTTTTTTGTCATCAGGTTCATCCTCGTCAGATACCACGGTCTCTTTTTGCTTTCTGTTTTTCTTGTGGACGTCATCTTCGTCTTCAAAGCTCGAATAGCCTCCCTCATTGCCGTTGTCCTGGTTACTGTCAGCATCTCCAACTTTCTCTTGCAGCACTTTTGCAGCTTGTTGCTCCTCCTGTTGCAAATTCAAGGTCGTTTGCTTGAGAACCTGCGAACGAAGGTCTTGTCGCTCCGTCTTCACTTCCTTTGCAGTTGACTCGAGAGCCTCTCGAATCTTGAATTGATCTTGTCCATCCATCTCTTGGGCTAGTTGCTGTAGTGTTTGCTTCGGTTGCGTTTCCTGTTTAGCCACGTCCACGAGTGTCTTTGGCTTCACTGAACTATTCGCATCATTTCCAGCTCTAGCAACGTCAACAAGCGATAAAGTGGCACTGTTACTCGCGGCTTCGGCGTTCATCGCCTTGGCCACATCGAGAAGCGAAGACATTCACGACTAACAGAAGAACAACTCGACAAATGAACTACTGTACGCCATGAGTTACTCAATCACTTAAGTCGTTACGTAAGTTTGGGATGATACCGCTATCTCTGCCAACCTGGTCCCGATGAATGTGTCCGTACGCGCTTCTTCATTGGTCCAGGCGATGCAGACCGAGGCCGTCCTCGCGTTGTTAATCGTGCTGCAGCTCTTGCTGCAGACGCTTCTGTACTAGCTGTTGCACTTGACGCACTACCGAGACTTGGGCGTTTAGTGGGAAGCGATTTTGATGAAGTGCTGGAGCCGGGAGACACGGACGCCGGCGTATTTCTTGAAGACTCGACGCCAATGTTCTCCTTCTCCTTAGGAATCGCTCGGAATCTCTCGAGTGAGCGCTGCAGTTTGGCCTTGTCGTCAGTTAGTTGCCGTACCTGGTCCAGAAGGCGATTGTTCTCCTCCTTCACTTTGACATGATGCTGAATCTTCTGGCGGCTGTTGTGGTGGCCAACCAGCTTCTCTTTCTCGTTCGACACTGTCTCCAGTTTCTTGGTTAGACTCTGGATCTCCCGCTGCAGCCTCACCTTCTCCGATAAGAACTTGCGCTTCGCCTGTCCAAGCTCGTCTAGCGTTACTGCCTTGGCCTTGGCCTCCTTTAACGCGCTCTCAGCTGCAGCCTGTTGTGCCTCCAGCGCCTTCTGCACAGACTTACTGTGCTCTTCGGCAGCGTCGATCTCCCTCCGTCGACGTTTAAGCTCCTCTTCCTGCTCCTTCAGCTCAGCTACTGCCTTCTGCTTGAGCTTCGTGTTCTCTGCAACAACCGAGTTGTGCTTGGCCTCAAGTTCCTCAAGTGCGATCTGCAACTCTTGGACTTTTGCTCTCCGATCATCCTCCGTGTCCTTCAACTGGATCAGCGATCTGTTAGCAAGCTGCAGCTTTGCGTCCTTGCCCTCGATGTTCGCTTCGAGCTGTTTGATCTCCAGCATCAGCTGCTCGGTCTGCTGCGCTAAGATTTCCTCGCCTTCCTCCAGTTTCTGCTCAAGTGAGTGGGTCTCCGCCACTAGTGCTTCCTTAGCCTTTGCAAACACCGCTGTCTTCTCCGCAACCAGCTGCTCCAGCGCCTGCACACGGCCATCTGTGGCCTCCAACGCAGCTTTATACTCCCGGGCTTTCACATCCCACGCAGCTTCGTCACGGCTCGCACGTTCTTTTAACGATACAATGGCGTCGTCTCTCTCCGCTAGAGCAGCCTCCTTCTCAGCGAGCTCCGTCTCTTGTTTCGACAGAGCGCTTTGCTGTTCTGCTGACTGAAGCTCAAGGTCGCGTACAGCGCTTCGCAGCTCAGCAACAGTGCCGGCGAGTTGCCCCTGTGTTTCTGCAGTGCTCGCCTCCAAGTCAAGGATCTTATCGTCCCTGTCGGCGACGCGACCCGAAAGTTCTTGCACTTTCCTGTCCTTCTCCACAGCTGACGCCTTGAGGGCCTCGTTATTCTGCTCCAGTTCGTGTCTCGATGTGGACAGTGCTTCTTTACTGAGAACCAACTCCTCCACGCGCTTCTCAAGAGCCAAAATCGATTCCTGAGCCTGCTCTGCTATCTTCTTCTTCTCGCCCGCCCAGGCTTCTCGAGCTTCCGCGAACTTCTCCTCCAGCCCCTGTTTGGACTCTTGCTCCGTTTTCAAAGACTCGGCCAGCTCCAGACGATCGAACTCAAGCCCTTTCAACTCGTCACGCAGTGTAGACTGGATCCCCTTGTACATCATAATCTCTTCTCGCTGGTGAGAAGCGGTCCCTTCAGCAGCTCGAATCTCGCCCTCTGCCTTCTCGAGCCTTGTAGTCAGGTGCTCCACAGTATCCTTGCTTGCTGCGATTTCCTTCTCCAGCTCGGCAATCTTAGTTGCTCTGCAGGAAAGCTCATCAACCTGCTGCGCTTGGGTATTCGCAGCTTGACAAAGATCTTCTTGTGCTGAAGCGAGACCCTTGCGCAGGTCGGCAGCTTCGTTCGAGCGTGTTGTGATCTGTTGCTCAAGTTCCCCAACTTGTTGCCTGAACTTGCTGATGGTCTCTTCCGATTCCGACAGCTGAGCTTGCTGTAGCTCGCGCGTCTTCTTCAGATCAGTATTCTGCTCATCCAGCTCGCTCGCCTTCACAGCCAACTCCTCGGTACGTTCCGATAACCTCTCAGTCTCACTAGCCATTGCCTTCTTCTCCGTTTCAAGCTCCTTCACATCAGCCTGAAGACGCCCAAGCTGTTGAGCTGCCAAGGAAAGCTCTGCGTCGACCTGGCTCTTTTCTTCAGAGAGTCTAGAGGCATCGTCAAGAGCCTTCGACAACTTCATCTGTGCATCTTCCAGCGCTTGCCTGGATTCCTGTTCCTGGGCGTCAAGTTGGCGTTGAAGTTCTGCAAGTGCTGCCTCCTTGTCCTCCAGCTTTGAGCTGTGAAGACGATCAGCTTCTTCTGCCTTGGCTCGATGGTCGTCAAACTCATCGTGAAGCTGCTGAAGTTGCTCGTCTCTTACACGAAGCCGCGTCTCGAAGTCCTCAGCTAGCTTGTGCTCTTCCTCTTGCGCTTGACGCTGCAATGCCTCGATCGCTTCTGAATGTTTTTGAGCAGTAGCATTGGCATCCTCCTGCAGCTGTCGGATACAATTAATGGATTCCTCCAGCTTCTGTTCCAGAATCGTCCTCTCCTCAGTCACTGCAGCCTCAGCGCGTTTCAGCACATCAATTGTCTTCTCGCAATCACCAACTCGAGCTCTTAGGTGAGCTGCCTGCTGTGTAGCCTCCTTCAACTCGTCTCGGGCCTCTCCAAGTTGCATCACCGTCTTCAGGTTGGCTTCTTCAAGATGAGCCATTTCCTTCTTCAGTTGGACAAACGCATGTTCGGCTTCTTGGGCCTGAAGCTCACGCTTGTTGAGCTCTGCAGCCACCGCTGATAGCTGCTCCTGTAGCAGCATCTTCGAGTTCTCAAGGCCTTCGTTAGCGGTGGATGCATCAGCCAACGCAGCGTCGAACTCGAGGCGGATCCCTTCTTGTACTCGCTTCAGCTTCATCTCCAAGTCCTCAACCTTACTTTTCTCTTGAATCAACAAGCTCTTGGTCGAGCAATGAGCTTTCTCTGCGCTCAGTAGAGCTCCCCTGGAATCTACGAGTTGTCTCTCGAGATCATGTCGTTGAATTGACCAGGAAGCTTCACGCTGCTTCATCTGCTGTAGCTCTAGTGACGTGTCTGCTGCTTTCTCTTCCAGGCATTGATTGAATGACGCGACCGAGTCCAGCTTCGCCTGGTACTCACTCGCCTGCTGCCTTAGCGCCTCCTCTAAGCGAGCTGAAAAATCCGCATGGCCAACTTCTTGTGTCGATGGTCCTTCCCTGTTGTCACCCTTATCCGACTGGTTCTCGAGTAATCGGTCTTGAAGATCGTGCTTGTCACGCAGCACAAACGCCAGCTGCTTCGTCAGACCTAGCAGCATCAAGTTGAGGCTTTCCACTTCGCTGTTGATCTTGCCAGTGGCGCCGGCGTCTTCCATTCCACTGCGCTGCAGCTCGTCCTGAAGTTCCACAAAGCGTTCTTCCATCTCTTCATACTTCATTCTCCACTCAATGGCGTCAGCTGTCGGTTTATACTCATGAGCTCCCGGGCCGCCAATTCCTCGCAGTCGAAGCATCATTTTCAAGTGAGCAACATGCTGCTTTAGCTCCGTACAAAGCGCCTGGGAGTGCCCATTCTGAAGCTGCAGAAACTCGCATGAACGCTGTAGTCGGTCACTCTTCTCGGCAGTCGTCGCAAACGATTCCTCCAGCTCACGGAATCGGCTGTCAATGGCAGGATCACACGGTCCTAATTGCCGTGAAGAGGGGGCGAATGAGTCTTGACTTGACGCGCTCTCGAACGGTGTCGCTCCTTGCTGGAGCACACTTGATCCCGGGATATTCCGAGCGATTTCTTGATGTGCTTGCTGCAGTTGTCGCTTAAGCCGCAGGATTTCTTCCTGCAAGAAAAGCGCACTGCCGACTGAGTCTTCGTTGACGACTGCGCTGTTCTGGATCATCTTTGCTCGCTGTGCGAACTTGAGAGTTGAGAGCGTCTCGAACGAGGAATCTTCGGCCGGCGAGATGGTTGCGACCATGAACGTTTTGGAGTTGCCACCCAGCGAATCTTTCAAAAGGAACGTCAGCTTGGAGTCGCGGTAATGGACGTGGCGATGCTTGCCCACCGACTGCTCCGATAGTCCCATGATGACGTTTCCAAGCGCAGAGAGCGACTTGTTGATGCTTCCTGCTTCCTTTAGTCGCTCTCCTGCTGCGTCAGTACTTCGCTGTCGCTCGGAGCCTGCTAGATCCACCAGATTAAACCTCGACGTGCGAATCTTGGTCCCTTCCGCTGTCATCTCCTTGGACTGCAACTGCAGGATGAACACACTGTGCGACCGACTGCTCTCTCTGTTCATAGACGTTTGCCCCACTCGCCGGTTCTGCGCTCCAACCGTCATGAGCTCCGCTGCTTTTTTCGAGTTGGCCACGACGCTTTCGATCAGTCCTTCCACGTGGACTCCTTTGCGTCCGTTTTCCCTCAGTTGCAGTCCTGCTGCGTCCTTCGCACTGCCTCCATCCAGCAGATCGTATACTCGTTCATTGTAAATCTCCAGAAAGGAGCATGCGAATGTATGTTGCACGTTCTTCCGGCTGTCTTTGGCCACGACGTTGTCGAAAAGGTAGTCGAATACTCGCGGCACGAGGCCACGCAGTGCAAGTTGCTCTCGAGTGAGGCTCTGGGCCTCAGTGTCGATGACATCGTCGGGTCCTTGCATCGTGAACGTTTTGCCTGATCCTGTTTGTCCGTAGGCGAAGATGGTGCCATTGTAGCCCTCAAGACAGGCCCGAGTAATGGGCGCCCCTACGACCTCAAAGACGTCGTTCTGGCAGGCATCCTCGCCGAACACGCGATCAAATGTGAAGGTCCTGGATGGACCATGTTTGCTGTGCAGGAAAACCGTCTGCTGCGTGCCGTCCGAGGCGGGGACGGTCACACACTTCTTGGCGAAGGATGTGGACGCGGCGGCTGCGCTACTGCGCGCTAGGAAGCCCGCGGAGCCGCTCGAGAAGGTCGAGGGGTTGACGCCGCGCTCGCGCTCGTTGGGCGGCCGCACGCGACAGAAAACCTTGACGTTGGCGTTGGAGGCATCCATGCCGACGATTATTTGGTCCGTTGTGTCCCTTTGCTATTTGAATCGGAATTTGAATTTTGAGTGGAATACTTCAATCCCGTGATCAATTGATATTCTTGTCTGGGGGATCAAGCTTTGGGAAAACCGGTATTCTGAAACGGAATTCGACGGTAGATATCAGAGCGCGGAGCATTAATTAATGTCTGGGCACTGCCAATCCCTGCTTGCTGTTGTGCGACGTGCGCATCGGACGTTCTTTGAAGGGCTTGCATCAATAGATGGATTGGAAGCTTCAAACGGCCATGGAGCATGAATAACAAAGCCACATTTGGTGAGGTTGGTCTCCATGAACACCAGCACCTTAATTCGAAAGAGAGTGTCGAAGGGGTGTATGTTTTACGTCGTTTGCATTTCTGGACGTCGAGGTGTAAATCTTCGAATACAGTACACCAGACCTACTGTTTAGGTTTAACTTAAAGTAGATACAGTAGGAAAAAACTAAATTTCGGTCCTTCCCTATTGCATACCTCGAGCGCTGTTCCGGTATCATAGCTCCTTATACCGGTATCAGAAGAGGCAAGGCATCCAATCACTGACGCAGTCAGTGACGGTGGCATCCCATCAGATCGATTATCAACTGCAAGGTAATTAAACCGCAATGGAGTCCCCGGGAAAAAAATGGGGTCTTATATTTCAAGGTTGCGAATTTGCAGCAGCTACATGTGGGGCTGGTGAAAATCAGCAGCCTAGAACCGTTTAGTGGTCCTCGTTCTCGCAGTGTTCCTTGTAGGCGGCCTCGTCCAGCAGATCGTCCACGTCCGACACGTCGTCAAGCTGCGGAAACAATAAAACGTAGTCAGCAACTTCCTGTCTCTATTGCAGCTGCAAAGTGCAACATACCTCCAGCTTGATGAACCAGCCACCGGTCATGGCCTCGTCGTTCACGAGGTTCGGGCTCTCCGCCAGGTCCTACAGCAACAACAGTACCAGTTAGCATTGTGTCCCTCCCTTTACCGACGCAGCAGTGGCTGCTGCTCACCTCGTTAACAGCCGTGACCGTGCCCGCAGCGGGCGTGTATAAGTCACTAGCAGCCTTGACGGACTCAACGGCACCAAAGGCGTCTCTACACGTTCAATAATAAATGATGCACAGCAACGTCAGAATCCAGTTACAAAGCAGTTAACGAAAGCTGCACGTACCCCTTGGCGAACTTGTCGCCCACCGACGGAAGGTCAACGTACACGACGTCGCCTAGCGAGTTCTGGGCAAAGTCGGTGATTCCGATGGTGCCCTCCTTGCCGTTGAGCGTCACGTACTCGTGCTGCGGCGTGTACTTGGTCGAGAAGAAGGCGAAACCCGCGGGGCGCTGCGAGTTCGCGCGCCAGGCCGCGGAGGTGGCCGACTTGAGAGCACGTGCACGGAGAGTCTGCGAGATGACGCGGAGAGCCATTAGTCTATACAGGAAGAGCGATCTTCGGTTGCCTTCGAATTGTCGAGTGAGAGATCATGGTGGTCCCGACATGCGGTGTGGCTACATTCGAAGATCCTCAGGTTAGTATGCCCTTACCAATGATAAGTTTAAACCAAAACCGTATGGTGCATCAGTGTTTTGCGAGGCTTGCCGAAGCCAGTGGTCGAAGCAGTTCAAGTTATGTTGACGCGCTTCGCTCTGCGTCCTGCTGGCCGTACGGCTCTGCGTAGCTCTTTTTGTCGCGGCTTAGCTGCTTCGTCTGGTACTGATGATGGACGTCGCTGGGCGGACCTGTTTTCCACTGCCGCACCCGCCAAGTTGGTCAAGCGCAAGGTGGCCATTGTTACCGGCTACATGGGCACGGGCTATCACGGACTGCAGCTGAACGATAACGTCAAGACCATTGAAGACGATATCCGCAACGCCATCTTTCAGGCTGGTGCCATGCGTGAGTCCAACTTTGAGGACTTGGGCAAGATTGACTGGGCACGGAGCAGCCGCACAGACAAGGGCGTGCACGCTGGCTGCATCGTGGTGCGTGTTGCAGTTGGATACGAGGCAATACAGGGCAGATATTCTAATATGTGTTGTTGTTGCTGCTTTGACGACCATAGTTCTCTGGCAAGCTACTGATTGACGAGGAGAACAAAGTGGACCCAATTTCGGGTCGTGTCCACGAACTTAAGGAGGCGTTGAACGCTTCTCTTCCTGAAAACATCCGCGTGTTCTCCTGCACGAGAGTGAGCAAGCGATTTTCTGCGCGCAAGAATTGCGTTCTGCGAGAGTATGAGTACTTCATGCCGCTTTCGTTCCTGAGAGGCAGCCTCATCGGATCCGACGGAGAAGACTTTGACACGGACGAGGCTGTTGCCGAGTTCTGTCGCGCACTGCGTCGCTACGAAGGAGTGCACGACTTCCACAACTTTACCCGCTCGAGATCGTATTTCTACAAGGTGCAGGCGAAGAAGAAACACTATAAAGCCCATTACCGAAGGAGCGTGGCCGAGAGCGACGACGCAGGCGTAGAGGATAATGACGAGGACGCTGAAGAGGAATCCGGCATCGACGACTACTCGGAGGAGTCGAGCCAGTTTGAAGATGAAGAGGAATTGACCCGCAAGCTGCTGCCTCGTCACCGCCGATCCATTTACTCGTGCTCGGGTTCTCTCGTCCCGGATTTCTGTGGCGAGCCACACTTGCGTATCCACATCGTCGGCCAGGCTTTCTTGCTGAACCAGATTCGCTGCATGGTCGGTGGCGCTCTGGCTGTGGCGACCAAGGGAATGTCCCGAGTTGAGTTCGACGCTGCTTTGTGTAGGCCATGTCTTTTCTCATTCTGCGTTGCACTGTCGCTCACAATAAACGTCTAACTGGGATATGAAATGTTGCGGATACTGCAGTGACGAACCGTATTGTGCGAGTTCCGATTGCTCCGGCCGAGGGCCTTGTTCTTCTCAGCAGCTCGTTTGGAGGAAAGAGCCACACGGTCTCGCTGTATGAGGACCCGAACACGGTTCTCGCGAAAGAGCGCAAGGACGTGGTGCATCGGGTTCTATTGAATCGTAAGGAGGATGAGGAGATGACAAAGTTCCGCGACGAGGTGATCTACAAGGAGATCGCGAGCAGCTGGGATATGGACGAGAAGATGGACCGATGGCGCGCCTACCTCGAGCGCTGCTACGAGTCCAACGGCCGTCTCGACGAGGACGAGCTGTCTGCCGTGTTGTTCGAGCTGGACCAAGCCAAACTCGCAACCAAGAACAAGAACCAGGCGTTCGTCGAGCAGAACCGATCTGGACTAACTGAGTACGGACGCAAGGGCGCCCTGCTGCCGAAGCAGTTCACCACGAAGATGTGTGTTCGGTACGGTGTGGCCCCCGGTATCTTCACGTCGGACTTGCGCCGTGGCATAATACTGGTAAGTCTTTTTGGGGCTGATGTATACAGGTGGCTGTAGTCTCTTATATGTGTGTGTTGTACCGATGCAGCATTTGAAAACCGGCAAGATTCCTCTCGACGCGGACGATGAACATATTATGGCCCACATTGACAGCTACGGCCCCGAAAACCTCGCCAAGGAAGGCCGCAAGCTTCGTCATAGCATCCGAACGTGATGGAGAGTAAATAGATAGCAAGTCGAGCAACAATAGAGCTGCGTTGCCTTGAATGTCAGTTGGTTCCATGATATAGCAGTCATGTGCGACATGGCTACATGAATTTTTGTGTTTTCTTACATCAAGTTTTTTATTCTCCCTTTTGCAATTCTCGAACGACGTCAGCAGTCGATCGGCGACACCAACATCTTTTACTATGGTGTGGACCGTCACTCATCATCGCCATTCGGTCAATGTCTAACCCATACGCTACCTACTGCCCACAGTTCGGCAACTTCGGCGGAGACGGTAACCCCTTTGGAGTGCAGTTCAACTTTGGCGACTTCCCGCAACGGTGTGTGACTTGGCCTCATCGCCGAATAACGCACGATATGCTGATTCTAGTTTAATTCCTGGATTGCTGGGCTTGCAGCTTCGACGAGCACTATCGAGTGTATCCTGTGTCATTCTGCGACAAGGCGCACCTGGAGGATGGCGATAAGAGTGCGGTTGTTTCTTCGCTGCAGACTTTATACTCTCGAGAAAACTAATGGTGTTGTTTTTTGCTTTTCTCTTTGATAGTTTTGCTGCCCCCTTCAGCACTTGAGACACTGGGTACGTTGTTGAGGTCGTGGCTTTATGAGCCTACCGACTGATCGTTCTTTTCGTCGTTCAGCTCGTCTGCACATTGAATACCCAATGCTGTTCAAAGTAACCAACGAGGGAGTGGAGCGCTCGTCGCACTGTGGTGTGCTTGAGTTCAGTGCCCCCGAGGGGAGTTGCTACATGCCATACTGGGTGAGGCTGTTTGCGCCTGTTTAAAGGTGCTGTTGGGGTTTGACCTACTAATTTTTGATATGTTTGTGCAATAACGGCAGATGATGCAAAACCTGTTCGTGAAAGAGGGCGGGATCCTCAATATCCAGAACGTGTCGCTGCCGAAGGCGACATTCGTGAAGCTACGCCCACAGTCGCAGGATTTCTTAGATATCTCCAACCCGCGCGCAGTGTGCGTTGAACTTTGGAGTGTTTGGCATGTCTTGTACTGTGTGCTTACTAGTGTTCTGTTGTGTGCAGTTTGGAGGGTTCTCTTCGCAAGTTTTCGTGCATGACAGTGGGCGACACAATTTGCCTTAAATACAACAACAAGAACTACATGTTGGACGTGCGCGAGGTAAAGCCTGCACCTGCTGCCTGCATTATTGAGACGGATTGTGAGGTAGATTTCGAGCCTCCAGCTGACTACGTCCCTCCGGTACCCCCATCTGCTGCATCGATACCACCCGCGGCGCCGTCAGATATTCCTTATGGAGGTAATGCTTCTTGTTTTCGACATGTAGCATCGCCGTATTATCCGATTACCTGATAGCAACAATGACTTGATCGGCAGGTGTTCCAACGATGAAAGCGGAAGACGTAAAGCCAGCACGGCTTGGTGGCGCTGGATTTGGCAGTGGATTGCGGCTTAAGAAGAGTGGCGAGAAGAGCTCTACAGATGCTGCTGCACTGCGTGCTGCTCGCTTACGCAAATACGAAGCGTTCCATGGTACTGGTCACTCGCTGAGCGGCAAGTCATCCACATTCAGTGGCGCTACAGCCCGAGGAACTAGTTTGGGAGGCAGCAGCAACGGAGGATATTCTCTCAATGGGATAAGTAATGGCTCTAGCTCCAGCACCAGCAACGGCAGCTTGACCACGGCTTCCAAAGCTAAGCCATCGATGGGCCAACGCCTTAATGGTGAAAAGGTGGGCGCAGCCGACGATGAGGAGATGAAGGATGAAGAGATGAAGGAGAGCGGCGAAGAGCATAAGGGTGTCGTTCCGTTCCAAGGCGAAGGCCGGCGGCTGAGATAAATGTAGTACGAACTGAGAGGCGCGCAGCAAAATTATTAGCGACGAAGGCTTCTAGCTATTGAGCCACTCAGCTCCCAAACAAAAGTAGCCCGTCGCTAATGAGAGGATGTCGATGAAATAGGACACAGTTTTTCAAGATGTATCAATACTTTTCTTAGAAAGTAAATGCTCTGCCATCATCCCGTCATCTTCCACGCAAAAAGAAGCACGTACTGTTGAACTTACTTCAGTACATGTACAGAAGTAGCGTCTACCGGTCTGCTAGCGCAACCAGGACACCCGACGTGACTTTGGTGCGCCGAATCAACCCACAGCCCTCCATATCTGCTAGATGAAACTCCAGCCGAAAGCGTGAGTGTTTCAGCTTTGCCTTCTTCAGTTGCTGCTCGTGCATCTCCTTGTATTTCGTGCGCTTCAGTGTGCTCAAGATCTGCGTTCGGGTCTTCCTGATCGCTGATACTAGTTTTCCTATTCCAGGGACAGAGAAGGAATATGCCTCGTCATCTAACCGAGTTGTGGGCAGAAGGAACCCAAGTCGTTGGATGCACCTAGCAATTTAACCCAAGATACTTTCGTCAGTAAATATTTACACTGCTCCGTCTTCCGACACATACCCCACCATAGCTCGAATCTCCTGTTCATCTGCAGAACACCCGCACTCCCTCATCCTCGATATCAAGACTTGCAATGGAGCAGTAGTTAACGAAGTGAGTTGAGGAAGTGCCCGTCCAAACGCCGCCACAGCGTTCAATTTCAAGGAGATCGCTGTATCTCCTGGGTGCTGACGTAGCTGCTCGCGAAATATCTTCTCGTGCTTCTTCACCTCGGCAATGTAATCTTCTGCACGTAGAATCACCGTGTCTTCCGATCCCGTTGGGATCTTGAATGTTACCAACTTGCCTTTTGTTCGCAGCCGATGCACCTTCGGGCGATAGCGAAATGCAAGTTAGTCAATTGCAAGGTCGTCATTGCCTGCAGTAGCGTCTTAAACTCTACATTCTGGTCTATGAATGTCCGACTTGGTAGAACCGTGTATCTGCAAATACGCAATACCATATTTAAAGCGTATATCGTTACAGTGTAAAATGACTGAATTTACAATTGGTGCCAGACTACCACTCGGGGTAAGCTCAGTGCTGCCAACCCGTCGGCGTTGCGGGTCAGTAAAAGCTGAATGGATATCATGATGTCATCGATGAGGTCAGCTGAAGCGCTCCATTCCCCGTCGTCGTCCTCGATCGCCGCGTGCTTGCGCTTGCTTCGTCGTAACACCATTACAAGTATTGCTAGAGAAATACGAACTATCAGTATTAAAATTAAAATAATTCTCTGGATTTTAAGGAATGATCAGAACGGAGGTCTGAATTCTTAAGCCAAAGCACCTTTTACATACATAACTTAATCAAAAGGCTGCAATCACTTAAGACGATGTCTCTTGCACCTCGAGCACAATGATGGTCACTCATACGAGCGACATCCTGCGAAAACAAATTTATATCTTTCGTTTAATAATGGAGCTCTTGTCAGAATCATTATACACAAAATGGCACGACCTAGTGACGGGGTCACACAGCACCTTGCGCTAGAGGAAGTTATCTTCCGAGAGTATACAAACTCTCAGTGAACGGCAGTTCACAGGTCCCCTCTTTAATTAAAGAGAGCGAAGTGACCTAAATAAGGTAGATTGTAAACTGAGTATATTTATAGGTAGGTTAAGTTTGGGTTTAATACAAACTATACGTTACTTATAGAAATGCAATGTCGTTTAACCAATGGTTGGCTTTGAACGACCTTGGTACCTTGTACCAAATATCCCGGAGTATGACGTGTCATACTCCTGAAGTGTGAAGTGTCACACTTCATGTAACCAGGGTACACTTAGGGCTACGTACCCCGTTACAACCTATCTCGCAGAATGAACTTTCGCTTCCCATCATTTTGGTCCGAAATAACTCTGTATTTTTGGCTAAATATTGAGAGCTGTGTAACCCCAACAAGTAGATTGTATCCATCACCAAGTATTCCGTAGACAGTACCCACCAATCATCTGTGTATTTTCACCAGCTTTATTTATCATAGATCTGGCGCTTCATTTCGCCAAAGTGCATCTCGAACAGAACAGCTAATTGGCATCTTTAAATTGGAGTCAATTGCCTGCACCATGGTTTCCTTTCCGGCGTACATCCGGTTTCGCTTGGTGGCTTCACTTTTTTTCATCGCTGTGATCGGACGAAGAGCGCTGTTTATGGTTTTGCAGAGTTCCTCCCAAGCGACAACAGAAAAAGAGTCCGCCATCACACTGTGTTTGATTTTTTCGGACCTGTTGGTGCAGCAGCACGATGCAAAATCAAGACCAACGAGACGACGAGAACTTCAGTGACACATTGTCGGGAGACGATAATTTCACTTGGACCGAAATATGGAGAACGGAAGCGGGTGCGACGGAGAGAGATGGATTCCTGGCGACGCTTCCTCGCTTCGTGCGCACGAAGAACAACTTAGTGTCGTGTACGCTGGATCATCTAGCTACAGAGCAGTTCAGCTTTGCGCTTTCCCGACACAATATGCGCTCGATGTTGACGGCCTGTCGCTCAGAGCGCTGTATCGACAATGCTGATGGAAACGCTTGTTGGTGCCGGTACAAGGTTAAAACAGCGGTACCGTTGCAGTTTTCAAGCAAGGTAATCACATCATGCGGGACCCAAACGCCTTGACACCTCAACGACCCGAGCTCACGGATGCTATGAAAGCGTTCATTCGGCACCAACTTGCTGAGGTTCCCACGACCGTCCCATACCGTCTTTACAGCGTCATCGTGGCCAAGGTTGACAAAGAAGAACTACCTGGGCCTGCACCCTATCGTCGTCAAGTGGACAATTACGTTCGCTTTTGGAGAAGAACAAACCCCACCGACGAGATGGCACGCGTCATTGACATGTGTGACTAACACTTGTACGACGAGGTTGGGATGCATCCAGAAGCGCCAACAAATTTAGTGATTCTTTGCGATACCATTATTGCAGGTGGTAGGCATGTTGCCTCTGAAGGATGCGGAAGTGATGCAGCACCATTTCGTGTCGGCCTCACGTGTTACAAGCTTTTCCAAGACTATGTTAATGTGCAACGGGCTGCCGACCAAACGACGATATTACACATCGACAGCACGTTCAAGATTGTGAAACAATGCTACCCAGCAATGGTTATGGGCTACTCGGACAAAGGCGATTATTTTTTCCGCTCGCATACTTCTGCATCTCCCGACGACGCGAAGAAGATATTTCGTGGTGCCTGGAGTTCATGAAAAGGGTCTGCTTTGAACAATTCCGCTTGGATTTCGCTCCAGAATTTGTTAAGTCGGACGCCGACAAGGCACAGTGGAACGCAAGCCTTGCCGAGTTGCCTACGTCCAAAGTGTTGATGTGCTGGTTCCACGTTTGCCAGAATGTGTTCAAGCAAGCTAGGGCCAAGGGTGTTGACCCCGTCCAGACTAAGGAGCTTTTCGTGGACTTGTACGATTTGCACTACTCCGATGAACGCGACAATGAGACATACAAGCAAGTCCTTCTCGCAAAATGGGATGCGATGCCACGCGACTCAGCAGCGTTCGCGTTGGCTCGTCATATTAAGACGATGTGGGTCAACAGCTTTGAGTTCGGAAATTGGCAAGTGTTCTATACACCTACGGGTTGTGCGGTGACGAACAACCCGCTCGAGCAATACCACAAGACGCTGAAGATCAACTGGGCAAATCCTCGAGCTACACCGTTGGAGATGATGCGGTCTATGGATCGAGCTCGGCTAGCTTTCGTCAGTGAAAGTCGCGTCTTCAGTGACAAACCGAAGGTTTCTACGCGTTTGTACAAGTTATACAAGACCCTAGCTGATGGGCGTTGTAAGTCATCTACCCAGCTTCCATTGAGGCGTACGCAGGCCGAGATACGTTTTACCGTTTATCACAAGCATCTTCCTCCCAGCGCTGGGGATAGAAAGGAAAGGTTGAAATCGGTGGGTTCCGTGAATTCCCGAAGGATGCATACACTTGGTATGCCATCCGATGGGTGGGTAGTGAGTCCTGGACAATTGAAGTGTGATAGTCTCTACTGGTGGAAACATGGGATGTGCCCTGACGTCATTGATGCCTGTGCCGCGGATGGTGTTCAGTGTCCTGGTATCATGCCAAGGCCCCGACGGTTTGTGACGAACGCTCGTCGTCAACGCCCTCCTGTACGTCGCACCAACGCTGTTCGTCGGGTACAGTTTCCTACTGCTGATGAGGCCTCCGACACAGAAACGATTGAATCATCACAGGCGTCGAGCTGTTTAATGACTACCGAAGAAAATGATACGCCCGACAACTCACCTACGCCGACGACAAGCGAAGTATCTCTTGCTTCAGCACGAGTCTCCGACCTTGGAGAATCATTTGGCGCTTTCCATCCATTGCTCAACGAGAGACCCAACGGCCCCTCAACGCACGAAGCGAGTGTTCGTCGTGAGCTCACATCATCGATCTCTAATGGGCACCAAGCCGACCTACACGATGCTCGTCTGTCTCAGCTTATACCACCAACAACGTGCGTGGCATCAACAAGCAGTATTCAATCGAGCACTCCCGCCGCTCAGGTTCCGCGGCCAATTTATCAAGTTGAGCACGGTGAGTCATCAACCGACACGGAAGCTGACTCGCAAGATGCAGTACTAGCGCTGGTGCTGGATCAGCCTCAAGATGTGCGTGGAAGTACAACAGAGAGAGTCGTCGATGAGGAGCATTCTCCACTCGTTCGAGAAATGGCTGGTAACGTTGTAGTACCCCGCAGATCTGTGCGCCGCCGCTGTCTAACTGAGCGTGCTCGCGAATCTCAACAACAGGTGCGTAAGCGCACTCGGCCGTAGGTGTGCACGACATCAGCGAACCATTTGGTCAAGTTCCGATTATACCGACAATCTACCAAAAGATGAAGAAAAACCTGCGACATTCGCGCGCGGGTGCAGCAATTTGTAGGGGAAGACACAAGCATAAATGGTTAGGAGTGCTGCATTTTAGGTTAGGATACAAGGGATTCTAAGCACAGCAAATTGCATTTATGACGGGTGCGCCTTCTTTTCGATTGGGGGTAGTACGAGAGTGTACGACTGGAATGACAAATAACAGTGCGGGCCCTTCCGATGAGGTGACTTTGTCAGCTCCGATTTGGTGTAGCCTACAATTTGCTTGGTGTGGTGGAGTTGGTTAGTTTCTTTGGTGATTTGTGCAGAATGGCTGGTGATAGGTACACAATACTTGGTGGAAATACACGAACCTCCTAAATATTAGCTGTGGAAAGATTGATTGTTTGCAGCCTTAGTTGCTCGCAGGAGTGCGTTTCACGGCCATCATTCTGTCTAATTTGTACCTCCTATTAAGCTACAAGCCACATCGCATTTCGTGTGGAAATGGTTACTACGGAGTATATCGTACTGATGTTCTTTAAGCGATAGACCTCCAGAATAGCTGACAACAACAATCCCATTTTAATACTTCTATATCATTACATTTATGGTGATTTCAGATGCTCAAAAAATTCCAGTACGCATTTAAGCACTTGCATTCATCGTTTGAAACGTGTCAGCTTGCTCAGCATTGCCCTACCGACCAACAAAATAATAATTTCAATGTATTCGAAGATTATTATCCAGGACCATTCTCGAACAGTTGTACAAGAGAAGAATTATGGATAAGTTGATGGGTCTGGCTCTAACGGTGTCTAAATTTGAACTCAATGTATATACTATCGTTTCATATTTTTAGCAACGTTAAGCGAATCATGAGTAGAGCTATAGCTTGTTCGAGGAAGTAAATTTGGGCTCAGCGATAGAGTACTAAGTTTGCATTTTTTTGTCGGCTTCGTGCTAGACGTAATCTTCCTCGCCTTGTCTACCATTGTTTTCGCGCAGTGACATCTCGACCAACTTATTAATACGAAAAATAGCTCGCGTTTCCCCCGGTTTCGTAACTGAAACTTTAATGCGACCTACACATGACATGATTTTGTTATACTTTCTTGTTCACACATAAATACACGCTGAACGGTAGTGTCGCACGCGTTTTGGTGCAATAATATATATATATATATTCTTTGTTTCGCTTATGTTTACTGATATTGACCGGCAATTGTGGAACTTTATTTTAGACCTAGATTGTAAATTGCTTCTATATCGAGAGTCGCTTGCCTTACATTGTGCGTTCTCGGAGGGAATATTTCTATCCTAAGCTTTTATTGTCCTCATTATTTTTCTTGGTT